GAATGCTTCGGCTGTACTAAGAGATGTACAACAATCATGGTCTTAAATTGATTCAGAAAACAGGAGTGTGATAAATCCCACTTAGCTGCCCGCAGAAGAGCAGCAGGAAGCGCGTTTCAGGGAAGGGAGGTGGAGAAACAAAGCCTGGAGAGCAGCAGGCGTCCACAACAGAGAAGAAATGGCTGTGCTGTGAGAGGGGGTCTTTCTTCCTCCTAAGTTTACACTCACATCCCTAAGGGCACTAATTAAGAATAACCCTAACCCCTCAAAAGCTACTGGGTAGTGAGCAACTTTTCTTTTACGCAGCAAAGGGGTTTTGTTCACCCACAGAGGACACCCCTGTGTACTGTGGTGCTCAGAGGCAAGAATCAGCTGCAGTTTTCTGTCCCATTAGCTGTTGGACGCCTAAGTAATGAGAAAAAACATTTAAATGACACAGTTAATATAGGTTGCAGTTTTTTAGTTTGTGATTATGAGAAGTGGTGTGTAAATCAAAGAGAATCAAAGAAATGAATGGCCTTGACTCTAGAGAAAACCTCTTACAAAAATGCAAATGGTCTCTTCACACAGTTTGGGTAAAGCACACCCAAGATATATTCAAAACTAGTTGATGATATTTTGTTCAAATTTCTTGACCCAAATTTCTTCACCTCTGTCAACTTGTGAGTTTTTAACATTTGATAACCTGTGGAGGTCAATGTTTGATGTGTTAAAAGTATATATTATTTAATTAATGCTTCAAAAAATCTTCAGATTAAGCTTTTTTTTTTTTCCTTTATTGATTTTGGAGACAGAGGAAGTGAGAGGGAGAGATAGAAACATTGATGAGAGAGAACATCGATTGGCCGCCTCCTGCATGCTTCTCCTAGAGATCTGGCCCACAACCTGGGCATGTGTCTGACCGGGAATCAAACTGTGACCTCCTGGTGCATGGGTCAACGCTCAACCGCTGAGCCACGTCTGCCAGACCAGATTAAACCTTTTAAGGAGAATGAAACCTTAGTATAGAATTCATAATAGCTGACTGGTTCAATGCCTTGATTAGACTAATTTAAAATCATATCATTTATTACTCAGAGAAATTCTATGTTCAGGGTAAAAAGATTAAAAACTATAACATAGTTCAGTAATCCACATATTTAGATTCAATGAAGTTAAACTAAAACCAAAATTATAATTTTATTCTCCAATATTATTTCCAAACTACAAAGTAACTGTTCTCTTTACATATCTATATATTATGGTGTCAAATGTGGATCTTAAAATCTGCATTATTGCTCTGACTGCTAGTTTTGACATTTGAAAAACTCTAACTTTGTCTAGGAATTAATTATAAGATATTTCTTCTTAGCAATAAAAAAACTGGAGATTATTAAGTTATTTAGTTTTATGAACTGAACACTGCCTCTTCCTGAATATCAGAAATAATATTAGGCATGGTGTTGAGGTGGGAAGGTAGACAGGCATAAAAAGGAGTAGACATATAAGTATTTGCAACAAAAGACTTACTATAAAATCTATATTAATTGTTTTCTATGATGTTTTCATTGATGGTTGTTTCCCATGGTTGTTCCCTGATGTTTAGTGGACGGCCCATCTTTCCTGCCCACTGGCACCTGAGGGGCCTCAGGCACCTTCATACACAAAAAGGTGATTAAAATGATTTTGTATTCAAATAACAAAGATTTTATAATTTACTATAACAGGTTAAAAGCAGGTCCAAAGTCACTATTAGTCAATATTTTTGAAGACTGGACTCATTAAGTTATGCAATACAGTTGTTCCATTCTGTAGATGTGTTTTTCTTGCCCTATACGACATTTTGGTCAAAACAGGTTAAATTCCCTTGTATCAGACAAAATGTCCATTTCCTATAAATCTTAGCCTGGGGATTGGTGAGATTAACTGGTGTCTCAGCTGGGGTGACTAGAGATTTAGAACTCCAGTTCTAAAACCCATGACCCACATACAGCCTTTCCCTTGATATCTAGAAGTTCGCCTGGCCACCTTTTCTGCCCTTCCTTCAGCCTTCTGGCCTTGCATCTTTGTGTGCTGTCCTGGATTAGCCCAGTCATTTCTCTCATTCCCTCCCCTCTTACAAAAAACAAAACAAACAAACAAAACAAAACAAGGAATAACATCTTACACTTAATATTTCATTCAACTAAAGAAGTCACAAGAAGCCACACTGTACCCCACTGCCTTCCGGCTGCCTCCTTGCTCTCTTTTTCTCCGAGCAATACTAAAAAACCTCCATTTACTGGCACAAAACAATGCTTCCTACACTCAGGATCCTTCAGGGTCTCAGATTCAACCCCGGCTTATCAAAGTATTTATAAGAAACAAAAACAAAGAACAAGTTTTCTTCCAAAAGGGAATTCTTATGAACAAAATTTCCCAATCGCATCTTATTTTTGGTGAGATTTAAAGACCTTTTCTTAGGGTGATATACTTCATGAGAAACAGTTACGGTCTTCAGTTGGCTCCCGAATTCCTATTATATGTTGACATTTGATCTACTTTTGGACTCTATATAAGTCAAAAAATGTGTAGAGATGATAGTAGACATGAGGCCTGAGGTAGGGGTAGAGGGCAGGGTAAAAAGGCATATAGAAGAAAAGACATTGTAAAAGTATTTCCAAGAATTTAAAATGGTTTGTAGGAAACAAAGCAGCAGAGCAAGCCCGGGTGGGAAACCCTACAGAAGGCACAGCCCATCTTCCCTGCCCACTGGCACCTTCACACACTCTTGTGCCCTGGACCCACGCTGTCCTCCTTGGTCAGGTTAATTATCAGATACATAAGGAACACAGATCCCGCTGGTGAAACAAGATTCAACATAAAGGAACTTGCTAAAGGAACACATTTGTTTGAAATATGAATCTGGAGAAGTATGAATATTATCACTTCCATAAGGCAGACTTATCTTTTCTAACATGAAGATATTCAGAAATTTGAAATGATAGTATCTATACTATGTAATTTCTTGATAATATCTGAAATATAAAATTATACAATTATTTCTGTCCCTCATTTTTCCTCCCTGCCTTCCTCCACAAGCATTTATTGATACTCTGTGATAAACTCTGTGCTAAGATATGAGGATACAGAGATAAAGATAGCTCTTGCTTTCAGAAGCTGAGAATCTAGGGTGGATTTAGACATGTAAATACATATAATAAAAATTAACCACAATGTACTAAGAAAGAAGTGAAACAGAGTCATATGAAAGCATACCGACAGGCTAACGGAGGAGGATCCGTGGATCCTTTCTAGAACAAGGGTGTCTGAGCTTATTTTGAAGAATGGGCAGCTGACTGCTGAAGCAGGAAGGAAAGGAGATTCCAAGTGGAAGCAACAATAGATGCAAAAGCACCAAGAGCACGAGACCTTCCAAAGGACGAACAAGCGACTGAACATGGCTGGAGTAGTGTGGCTGTGGTGTGCAAGGAGAGATGACAGGGAGACAGCAGTGGGTGGGCGAGGTGTGTGAGAATCACTTACGAGAATCCTTGTTCCCTGAGGGCAGTGAGGGGGCATGGGCAGAGTGGTATTTAATGAGGTCACTATGGCAGTGACAGCAGGGTGGATGATGGAGGAGGGAATTGCGAAGTGAGACTGAAGGCCAAGGGCCTACTTTGGAAACACAAAGTAATCCAGGCAAGAAGAACATCAGAATTATTCAAATCAGTGTGAAGCTCATACACACAAGACAAGTGTCTCATGACGGCTTCCCAGGGGTGAAAGGGCACAGGAGAAGGAGCTGCCCACCACATGTTCTTAGAAGCCTCCCATCCTTTCGTGTTCCAGTAGGATCACAAGTCTTTGCCTACATGGTAGTGGGTTTGAAATGAAGAAGTAAAGAACTGAGGGTATTATTAAAGTAAAATAACAAACAGGTTGGTGGCTGAATGGGATGGGAAGACTAATGCCCAGGTTTCTGCCGGAAGCAACTGAGTAGACGGTGAAACATTCAGAGATGAATTATGTGAGTACTACAGAATGGGGTAAGTTTGGAGGTGAGGGGTGAAGGAACAGTGAGATGATATGACTTAAGGGTTGACCTGAGGTGGAACCTTGGGACATCCAAAGAGCAATGACTGTAGGCAACTGGCTATGTGATTTTGGAAGCTACTAATAGAGATCTGGCCTGGAACCGTAGGGAATTCCAGGATTCAGGTAGTAGTTAAAGCCACAAGAAAAACTGAGATCAAACAGGAGAGTGTACAGGTACAATAAGAGGAGGGCATTTATAGTATCAAAAATATGGTTTTTGAGAACAAAATACTTTCAAACAAGAATCACACAACTAGAATCACTACAGGCGAATATCTTAAAGAACTGCATTCATTTTTTTTTTTTTTCTTTTTCTTTTTTTTGTAGCTGGTTGGCCTTTCATTGCTTGGAAAGATCAGGTTTATAAAGACAATTGGTCACTATGGAAACAGGCTATTCAATATCAAACAGGCAATTTCCCACCTAAAGGGTAATTACTTTAGTTTTTCCCTTAATTGTATTTTTTCAATAATCATACATCCTTTTGGTCAGACATTTCCAATCAGTTAATGACCTGGTGAGCAGGAGAAAACACACTAGTCGATAGCTATATCCCCAGGTTGCTTACTATAGGGGCACCCCAGACATTTTGTGAATTTACTACTCCATTTTATCAGGGTGTGCAATGCATTTAATTTTTATAGCCAGCCTAAATCTAAATGAACAGTCACAGGAAAGAATCTCCATTTCTTTCCTTTATGGTTGAATCCCTTTTGTTGAGAACACATTAATTTCATGTTACTAGTCAATCATTATTCTAAGCTGCAGTTAAAATGTAAATATGTATCAGAAGAAGAAAAAATATAGAGGTAATTTAAAGAAATATGTCACCAAAATGCTAAACAAAATTCACGCAAATTCTTAAAATGTAAATCTCTTTTAGTTATTTTACATTTTTAAACTAAGGATACACTGATATTAAAAATGAGTGTTACTTCACTGACCTTATTCAAAAAAGCTTGTATCATCGCTTCCTGGTTTGCCATAGAAGCCACGCGCCTATGTCTCCCAATGCAAGTAATTATCTGGGTCTCTTTCTCCAGAAGTTCACACAAAGCAGATTTCCGTTCAGCCCCAGTGAAAGATTGGTTAATGCGTAGCAGTTCTTCTTGCTGCCAGACTAGAGGAATAACATGAAAGATCATGAGTTTTTAAAATTCCACATCTTTACAGAGCATTTTTACCAACACATCCTGACAAGCTGTATTTTATTTTTCTATCAATTTAAATAAAATTACACAGGAGTAGAATCACTCATAAAGTACATCTGACATATGAACAAATAGGATGAAATAGAAGCTGAGAGACTTAAAGCAATAAAAGTAGTCAAACAAACAGAAGCCAAAGGAAATCAATACAGATAATGTCAACTTATGCCTCTAGGAGTCTAGGTGAGCATGCTCATGGATTCCTCCCCAGAGGCAGCAGGTCTGTCTTCCAGCCATGCAGGTTTACATAACTTTAGCTTCACTCAAGATACCCTTGCCGCTGAACACATCAGAATATGTTAAATGCTCCAGCCCCACTACATCAGCCTTTTCTTACAGATGTCTCAGTCTCTTCCCTTCTGATCTTTCATGGGCTGAAAGGAAAGCTACTTTGTGTGAACTTCTGGGAAAAAAAGACCCAAATAATTGCTTCCATTGGGAGACATAGATACATCACTTATATGGCAAACCGGGAAGCAATAATATGTGTTTTTTGCCTTAACTTCCTTTCTTATGGCTGCACTGAAAAAAATATTTATATTTTCTTTTAACCATATATTTACTTCATATCTTGTCCCCCTCCCACAATTCCTAGTCCCCTCTTTCTAATTAAACAAGACCATAAAAAGGACAGCTGATTACTATGTTCCAGGCTTTGTCCCAAATGCTTCTTATATATATGAATTCATTTACTCTCCTTACAACCCAATGATTAGGTGCTACTATTATCCCCTATTTTATAGGAAAAAAAACAAAAAACAGTCCTAGTGGAGCCAGGACTAAAACTGGCAGTCTAGCTCCATGGTCCACAGCCTTGACTGCTCTCTGCCTCTCAAAAACACATCAGCCTTTCAATTCTACCATCCTTCTCAATGTGAACTTATTAGTTGGTTTACTCTGGAGAGCCACCTCTACTTAATTAGACATCTAATTTTTCTTTTACATAAAGATAATTTATTATTACATTGTCACAAAAATGAAGTTTCAGAATCTCATGAACTATATTCTTATTCTGGCCATTAAATCAAACATTTCTTTTCTGAACTTTAAAAAACCTATTTTACTTATCTGGTTACTATACCTGCCAAAACTCTATCACTTCTTTGCCAGATCAAAATACTCAACAGCCATTTTTGAGCAATTATTATGTAAAAAGAACACTGTAAGGTTTGATGGTGCATACAAAAGTGAGAAAGACATATATATGTCTTCTTGAAGGAACTAATATGTTTCCTTGCTTCTCCCTGGTTGCATAGACTGTAAAATCCTTCCACAAGGACAGAATTTCTACTTCTTTTTCCATTTAGCTTTACCCAAAAGCCTGCCATTATTATTATTATTTCTTTGTTAGTCCTCACCCGAGGATATTTTTTTCCCATTGATTTTTAGACAGAGTGGAAGGGATGGAAGGAGGGAAGGAGGGAGAGAGAGAGAGAGAGAGACATTGATGTGAGAGAGAAACATTGGTTGGTTGCCCCACACACACCCCAACCAGGTCAGGGATCAAACATGCAATCCAGGTATGTGCCTTTGACAGGGAATCCAAACTCAAGACCCTTTGGTGTGCATGTCAGTGCTTTAACCACTGAGCACACCAGCCAGGACCAAATTCCTGCCCTTTTCAAAGACTTCCTTTAGGTACATCTCTTCTTGACATATAAGATTACTTCCCCTTATCTTCTATTACAGATGATTCAATCAAGTAAAATATACTCTTCCTTTGTTATATTCCAGGCATGACTCCTTTCTCATTGTGTTACAGAAATACTGTAGAATATATTACATTTATATATAATTAATATAATTAGAAACTATATTTTCCTTCTATTAAAATGTAAGGTTACTTTAACACCAGTGTCCACATTGAAAAGGTAAATATCTGAAGCCATAGTGTTGTTTCTGGCTCTCTTCTGTTAAAACCACTGCCTTTCATGACATCTAGTTTTACAGTTTTATCAGACTATCTCTTCTTCTTCTCAAATTTCAATCTGGAACCATCTTGATCAGGTCAAAAACTTTCCAGTCATTTTTTTTATAAGAATCTACTCTGGTCCTAGCCGGTGTAGTCCAGTTGGTTGGTCATTGTCCCATACACCAAAAGGTTGCCTGTTCGGTCAAGGCACATGTAGGAGGCAGCAGATCAATGTTTCTCTCTCATATCGATGCTTCTCTCCTCCCCCTCTCCCTTCCTTTCTAAAATCAATTAAAAATCTTAGGGGAAAAAATGAATCTACTCTGTCCCTTACCACAAATATATTGTTCAGATACTGTATGGCTTGGTTTGTCCAAAAGGAGAATTTATAAATATAAGAGCTAAATTATATTATCAAAGTCCAGAAAATCCATGACAGATGAGTTTATCATTTAAGAGTAGCAACCAAAAAGAACTTTTAAAAATTGAGCAAACTCCATATACAAAAAAGTAGTTTATAAATAAAAGGAAAAATAGTTTGCTTGTGGAAATAACTGAAAATATTTATCTCATGGTATTACATGGATATTCCCAGAAAGCAAATAAAAATTGAATGATATTAGTAAAGGTTTTTAGTTTTACATTAGAAACCTTTCAGACCAATAATAAATTTGGGCTACTAAGGTATTATTTAAGGTATTCTGCCAACTTCAAGGAGCAAGATACTGCTCTCCTAGATTAATATTCAAGTCCTGGGTAAATCTGGAGATATTATGCTTTCAAATACATAAATTCATATGTATTCAGATTTTAAATTTTGCTTTAACTATTAATATGACTTTTAAAAAGGAAATAACCCAGTGAAGCTAATTAGAAATGAAAATTATGGGCCTTAATTCCTATAAAATTCTCCATTAGATGAACAACCTCCCTGTAAATCTATAATAAGGTATAGAATATAGCATCAGAAGTATACCATGTCCCAGCTACTAATAAGAAATAGAAAAACACAGGAATCAGCCCTGGCCAGTTTGGCTCAGCAGTTAGAATATGGGTTCACGGGCCAAAGAGTCTTGGGTCCTATTCTGGTCAAAGGCACGTACCTTTGTTGCAGTTCAATCCCTGGCCCTGTCTCTCTCACATCGATGTTTCTCTCTTTCTCTCTCCCTCCCTCCCTTTCTCCCACTCTGTCTGAAAATAAAAAGACAAATATCCTCCAGTGAGGATTTTTTTTTTTTTATCCTCACCCAAGGACACTTTTTGCATTTATCCTCCTAGGCTTGTAAATGGCCATCTTCCTCTGGTGTCCTTATATTATCTTCTCTCTGTACGTGTCTGTTTCCTAATCTCTTCTTATAAGAACACCAGTCATATTGGTTGACGTCCCATTCATAGGACCTCACTCCTTATTAATTACTTCTTTAAAGGCCCTATCTCCATTTACACTCACATTCTGAGATAGTGGGGTTAGGATTTCAACATATGACTTTTAGGGGAACCAATTCAGCCCATAACAAATGTCAATAACCCTCAACATTGTTAAAGAAAATGATATTAAAGAAACTGATTCATTTGAAAAAATACATTTATCTCCTTAACTGATTCTCTGACAAATGACCTAATTTCCAGAGTCTGAAGTTCAACTATAAAATGAAAGTATGGGACTAAGATCTAAAGTCCACACACATTCTAAAATTTCTGAGATCTAAATTGCAATTTCCTAAAAAGTAAAAATAAAATAATAGACCATACAATATTTTTTCTACCACTGGAAGTTGATATGTATCTTCTTTTAAAAATTCTCCTCACAAAATAAATAAATAAGTAAATAAATCAATAAGTAAATAAATAAAATTCTCATCACAGACTGGAAGCCTGAATGGGGAGAACCAAGATTCAGACTGAAAGCCCAAGGCAGACATATAAATGGATTGGGCCCAGGGAGTCTCCAGAAGCCAGAAGTCGACATACCTTGAGATCAAGAGGTAATGATTAGAGTAAAACAATACAGTTAACAAAAGTCAAAACAAAGCAAAGCATTAGAAGATGCAATTCAACACATACTTACTAGACCTACTGAGCAAGGTCCTATCAGATGCCATAGGTACAAATGTGAACAATTAAGAGAGTGGTGTGTGCAGAGGATAATGGGGCAAGGAAAAGAGGCTCTGAGCTCTATCCATGCTGTTGAGAGAGGTTTCCTAACGATGTTGATCCTATGCTGAGTCTGAGATAAGAGTGACAATTCAGATCAATGGAAAAATAAATAAATAAATAAATAAATAAATAAATAAATAAATAAATTTTTTTAAAGGCATAAAAATCAAACAATGTTGTATGGATATAGTCTTGTCTTTGACACATTATATTATCTTATATAGTTAAGTTCATTTTCATAAATTGATATCATTTTACTTTTATTACTGAGGGACAGATTACCTGGAGGAAGAGTTAAACTCGGTATTAGGCATTCTAATTCAAACAATGCAATTGCCACTATAAGCCACAAGAGGACAGCAGTTTCAAATACTGGAGTTAAGAATATGGACTGAAAACTATATTATTAAATAGAAAAGCAATATAAATTATTGCACGTATGAACAAGAAATTTTAACCAGAACAAAATAGACTTAAAAATTGTTAATATGAGAGCTCACATTTAGAATTTTAGGACTAGAAAATAACTGAGAGGTGTCTCTTTTATGTAAGAAATTTCATTTTCTTCCATATAAATCATGTGTAGATATTTAAAATATATTTACTCTACTTTAATACAGAAAATCTATATAAAATTATTTACCATATAACAGAAGCTTAGACATGCATAGGTTTTTGTATTTTATAAAGTATTTTCATAAATGTATATTTGATATGTTTCACTTTATAAAGTGCTCTGAAGTAGATGTATCAGAAATTAAGTTCTTTTATAGATGAAGAAACTGATGCTTAAGAAAAGTAAGTAACTTGTATAAGTTAATACCACTAGTAAATAGAAAAAGTAGAACCTCATTTAGCATGTTTCCTATTATTGCAGTTACCTGTTGACCAAACAAAATGACAATGTTATCCTTTGATTTATTCACATCTGAATTTGGAATGTTATTTGAATAGAGTTCTGCTCTAACAGAACTTTAGTTTTATAATTATCAGTAAGATCTTTCCCAGATACCTTGCTAAGGGTGCCTACTGTTTAACTACTAACACTAAGAAATAACTTTGTTTTCATCAGACAAAGCAGATAGAAGTAGAAGTAAAATTTAAAGTAAAACAAAGTATTTGCACAGGTCAACAATTAGGAGAAAAAGGAGGCAGATGTACAAATCTAGGGAGCAAGTGTAATTTTACACACTGCTACATTCCTAAAGCCACTCAACTTTGCATGTGAGATACATTTATTAACTTTGCTGGTTGGACCTAGTGTTGAATTGTATTTCAGTAAATAGTGTGTTACCATATAGCTGTTTAAATAAACACAATATGTGACACCTAAAGCTGTATTCAATTATAGAGGAAACAGTGACTTGAGTAACAGAACATAGAATAACATCCACAAATAATATATAAATAAAGTTATAGTAAAAAAAATTTGCTAAAAGTTAATGTTATGAATCATCATAGAAGTCAAAGACTGTTTCTTTGGATTAAAAAAACAAAAACTCTGTTTAACAACAACAAAAAATTTTAATTTCTAAAATTCTTCTGTGATCATAAGAGCCCAACTCTTCCACTTGCTGGCATCTAAGATAATAGAAAAACTCTTCTGTTCCAGTTACTCCCACTTTAGCAGGTATTCCTGGGAAAGCAGAAACTAGAAATAGCTGCATTACTGCATTCCTATGTTTCCCCTTCGTTCATTTATTCAGTCATTCAACCAATATTTGTAGGGATAAGAGCATTAAGAAAAATCAGTTACTCTCTCCTGAAGCTTACAACTCAGTGGTGAAAATTAATATTAAGCAAAAGATGTCTTGCTACAAATGATGGTGATATGAGTGAAAAATCTGGAGTGCAATGAGAACGTAGGATGGCAGTGGGATATACGAGTTGTGTTGCCAGTCACAAAGCTGTGAGTAGATGACATTGAAGCTGAGGCTGGAAGGTGAGCGAAGGAGCAGGCTTCAGGAATAGTGTGCCTAACTGCTTGTCCAAGTAACTGAAGCTTCTCATGGCACCAGTGACTAGCACACATCAAATGAAAGAAATTAGGCAAAAAAGTCAAATATGTAGAAAATATATACTTATATGTTATCATTAATGGAAGGGATTAAAAGGTATTGCCAAGCCCCCCATCTAAAGAGCAGAATCAGAGACAGGATGCTGGATGAGGAATTGAAGTCAGTTTAACTCTGAGTTCAAAAATTCCCAAGACCATCAAAGAATCATATTGGACAATATTTTCTTTACCTCAGAGGGTTGAGGATCAAATGAGATAATATACTAAAACTGTGTACTTTACCCATTGTTAATATAAACGCATTTCCAATTTCATTTCACCCTTAATTCCTGTCCCAAATGTAAAACACTAGTCATCATTTTCCATTGTCAAATCCAGATTCCCAAGACATTTTCCTAAGATTATGAAATATTTTCCTTTGTCTATAGCAGACCGGTTTTTCCTACTAATGAAAAAATTTTAAATTAATATTTTATGCAAAGCTTATTTCAAACTTACGTTCCAGTGCATTATAAAGAAGTTCAAAATCTTCTTTTGTTTGAGGATTATGCCTCCGGTAATAGTCCAATTTAATCCATTCTTCTTTTTCTCTTATTTTTCTTAGTTCTTCCTCTTCTTCCCACTTAAGCCTTAACATTTTTTGTCTTCTTAAGTTCTCTACCCGTTTTTTAGCATGCCATTGTCTATAGTAAGTCTGTAACACTATTACCTGTAGTTAAATTAGAAGGAAATAAAAAGTACCAACCATCAACTTTATCAGTCAAAAACAAAAGGCAACGATTATTTTTATTGCAATTCAATAAATACTAAAAAATTCTGAGTCTAGTTTTAGTTTAGTGACTGATATTCTCAAGTACATTATAGCACAGAGAGTGTATATCAGCTATTTGACTTTGAAATCTAGCAAATGCACCTTCATTGGAGGCAGATAGTTCAATACTTCAGAGCACAGGCTCTAGAGTAAAACTTAGTTAAAATCTCCCCTCTGCTACTCACTAGCAGTTTGATTTTGGATAAGCTACTTGTCATCTCTGTGCTTTGGTACCCTCATCTGTAAAACAGTAACAGTAACAGTATGCATATAAAATGCTTAGTTAGCTTAAGCCTGGTACATCTGAAGTCATCAATAAATACCATTATTGTTATATTAATTATCTCTATAATTATTGACTATTAATTATCTCTAGTTTACCTTTTGGTCATTAGCATAAGATCATATTTAAAACAAAATTGTATTTCCTAAACATATAGCAGGTAAGTTATGTGGTGGAAATCATCAAAGGCAGGTTAGATAAAAGGGAGATTTTAAGCAAACAAGTGTTTATTAAATTGTGAGAAATATATATATGTCTGAGGGTCTGCTGCAGTACTGGGTCTTCAAAAAACTTGGAATATAGTTGACAGAGTGTCTAGTTTTATTTACTAAACTCATAAATAAAAATAAAATGTGGAGAGGTTGAATCAGGATTGAAGACAGAGAATATATTGATACATACCTTTCCCTCAACCTAACCCTGATGATTAAAGATAATTATATACGCGGAAATAAGTAAAGACATTAGGTCATACTGAAGGAGTCTTCCAAAGGAAGAGACATTTTGAAAAATCCCTTCAAGAAAGGAAACAGGTGGAATTAGCTGAAGAAAGAGTCTAATCATAGACTGGACAGGCAAGCTACAAAATATAGAAGTGATTCTAATACTGCTTCAAGCCCAGAACTGGTTGATTATGTGAGCAGAAGAGGGTCCTTAGTATAACTAACAAGGTGATTGCTTGAAAAATGCAAAAGAGACAGGCTCCTCTAAAACAATTAGTTCGAGAGCAACAGCAATGTTTGCCTCTGGGCAGGAGAAGTTAGTGTCCCAGAAGGCTAGTGACACCCAGGATGAATAAAAGCCCTTTCTCCAGAAAAGTGGCTCTCTCCCAGAATAAAGCTGTGCCCATCCCCTAAAACCACTGTATAAGGCTGTGGTAAACAAATATGCTGTAACACAATGGACATCAGAAATCTCAAATACTCTGAGGACACACCCAAGAAAAAAAACAAACATTTGAGAAAAGCCAACAAAATAAAAAGTTCCTCATTCAACAAAGAAGAATTTACATTTATAGAAAACAGAATTACTAGAACATGGGTCTCAAACAGCAACATCAGCAGCATCTGGAAAATTGTTAGAAATGCAAATTCTCAGCCACCCCATCCAATCCCACCCCAGCTACTAATCAGAAATTCTGGGGTCGGGCACAGATGCTATATATTTACAAGTTCTCCAGGTATTTCTGATGAATGTTGAAGTTTTAGAACCACTCTGCTAGAGTAAAACACAACAAAGCAAAAAACAAGACCAGACTAGATAAACATTTTCAGAGAAGAAGAAAAGTCTACTAAATCAATATAAAAGAATCAAGAAAGATGACAAAATTTTTATTTTTGAAATATAAAAAATCAGTAGAACATGTTTAGCTTGCGTGCTATTAAATTTGTTAAACTTATTAAAGACACTAAAATACAGTTGTTTAAACAACATGGATGTTTTTCCCTTCTCACATCACAATCCAGGAATTTGCAAACACTTTAGTCTGGAAGGAAACTCTGCCTTATTGAACAAATGGCTTCCCACTGTCTGTCCTGGGTGGCTGGTGCACTGCTCATCGTCTTCAAGCAAGTAGAAGAGGGGGTAAAAAAAAAGAATTGCAACCCAGTCACTTTATTTATTCATTTATTTATTTATTTAGTGGAAAGGAAGGAGGGAGAGAGAGGGGGAAAGAAACATCAATGAGAGAGAAACACATCGACTGGATGCATCCTACACAACCCCAACCAGGGCTGAGGATGGAACCTGCAACCAAGGTACATGCCCTTGGACTTGGAATTTAACCCCTGACCTTTTAGTCCGTGGGCCAACGCTCCAATCTCTGAGCCAAACTGGCCAGGGCCAACCCAGTTACTTTAAGAGCAATATCCAGAAATGCCACATGTTATTTTCCCTCACATTTCATTTCCCAGGCCTTAGTTACTGGGCTCACCTATACATAAAAGAGGTAGTGAAATGTGGTCTTCAATGGTACAGCCATGAACCCATCAAAGCCTTACTACAATAGGAAGAATAGATATTGGCCAAGAACCAGTAGTTTTATAAGCTGATCTGCAGTATGCACAGAACCTAAGAGGGAATTAGTAAGTAAGAAACTTAGGCAAGAAAATCTTTTAGGATGCATGGTAAATGACCATAAAAATTAGAAAGAATGAAGAAATATTAAGAGATATGTAAGAGAAATGCAATAATTAAGAGACATATAAGATAAATGATACAAGTTCTAGACAAAATAAAGAACATGAATAAAGGAATTACTCAAAATATAGAAGATAGATGGACTTAGAGGGTATTGTGCTGAGTGAAACAAGTCAGACAGAGAAATACAAATACTGTATGATTTCAATTATAGGTGGAATCTAAAAAAACCAAACAAACAAAACAGATAGTTTCCAGAGGGGAGGGTGTGGACAGCTGGGTATAAAAGGTGAAAAGGGAATAGAGGTACAAAGTTCCAGTTATAAAATAAATAAGCCATAGAGATGTAGTATACAGCACAGGGAATGTAGTCAACAATATCATAATGACTTTGTAAAGTAACAGATGGTTACTAGACTTATCACTTTGTAAGGTATATAAATGTGGAATCACTATGTTGTACACCTGCAACTAATATAATATTGAATGTCAACTATGCTTTAATAAAAAACATTTCTGAGAACTAAAGAAAGACAGGAACTCTCAGAGAGACAGAGTCCATAATCAATTCTCAAAAACATCACAATAAGATTACTAAAGATAAAGTGAAAGCCCTAAAAGCTTCCAGAAAGAGGAAATAAAGAACTGAGAATCCAATTGACATCAGACTTTCAATCAAACAGAACTTCAAAGTTGTAAATAAAAATAATTTTGAAAATAAGTGTAACTCTACTCTCTACACCCATTCAAACTAAAACCCAAGAATGTGAGTCATTCAATAGGACTTAGATGGTTTACCTCCCATACATAATTTGAAAGAATTACTATAGAATGTGTTCTAGCAAAAAGAATAAAGGGGTGGGGAGGATGAAAGAAGTGAGCAAAAACTTCAAAAAAAGTTATTAAATTAAATACATCTTATTTAAAAAATCCATATATATTATAGCAATGTGAATATATAAAAACAATCTGAGCCCTGGCCGGTTTGGCTCAGTGGTTGGAGCGTTGGCCTGTGGTCTGGAGAGACCCGGGTTCGGTTCCCACTAAGGGCACGTGCCTCGGTTGCAGTTTGTCCCCGGCCCTGATTGGGTTGTGTGGGTGGCAGCCACTCTATGTGCCCCTTTCACATCGATGTTTCTCTCTCTCTCTCTCTCTCTCTCTCCCTCCCACTCTATCTGAGCAAAATATCAAAAAATGTCCTCGGGTGAGGATAAAAAAAACAAAAAACAATCTGAAGTTATAATTACATAGTAAATTATAATTGTATAATAATTTATACATATATTTATGTAAAATTGTAATTCTAGATCAAATCCTCACTGGATAGGACAAATGAGGAAAGAGAAAAAGGAAATAAGGAAAAGAAAATCCTACGGAGGACCTTGATTTGTTCATGGACAAGATATAGAGCCTAAATATGCATTTGACATTAAAAAATTAGGTGCATTAAAATTTTTATGAGTAACCACCAGGAAAATAGAAATAAAGTATCTATTACTGAACTATAAAAGAACACAAAAATGAAAAGTTTAGTCAAATCAACTAAAAGAATGGAAAGTTAGTAAATGAATAAACAACATGAATGAATAATAAGTAAAACACAAAATGAGATGGCAGTAATGAGTACAAAAATATCAATAGTTATACATAATCTTGCCTAAAGCAAGAAAGTTTTAAAACAAATATGAAGCATTGAACTAAAAATAAAACTCAAGAATAAAATAAACCTAAGTAGAAAATAATTAACAAAAATAAAAATGATTAAATGGAAATTTACTCCTTATACGGGCTTTTAACCAATCGCTCTGTTTATAGCTCACATCTCACTTCCATCCCCCCACAAAACCTCCAATTCACATTCCAAGATTTTATGGGGTACATTGATTTCATTCTTGTTTCCTTCCCCCTTGGCAGGCATTTAGATTTTCACTTCCTCTGCTCAAGGAACTCAGTTAATACTACTCCATCTGCTTTACAACCTAAAAAAAAAATCAGCTGACATTTACTTTTCTCTCTTCTCATGTGTTCTTTGATCCTGTATGTTTATACTATTTTTATGCCTTTAATATCATTTTATTGGAGCTTGGAAAATATTGTGGTGATTTTCCACACCCTAACATCTATTCTCTTCTACTTCCTTACTAGGAAAACCTCCATCTTATTGAGGAGCAACAATATGAAAAATTTTTAAAGTATTTATCACACACTCAAAGCAGGGAGTGTCACGTGACAAAGGTCAGTCAATGAGACATAGTAAAAATTACTCAGTAGGGCTTCCAGGGAAAACTCTTGAAGGTGGCATACATGGGACATCCTTCCTTCACTGCTCTTTTCTTTCTGCATAGGAAGCAGACAAAATGCTGAAAGTTCATTAACCATTTTATCATTAAATGGTAACAACGTCATGATAAGATTTATGGAGTGGAAAGATTTTTAAAAATTCAGATTCCTGATGACATTATACAGCCACCATCAA